AGTAAAATGGGAATTTTTTAATATTCGTGACTTTTTTCAATACGAATTGCTTAAATGCCAAAATAACCGGGAAAATACTGCATAAAATTATAGCCATGATAACTATTAATCCTAATTATTAATTGCATCCTCAGAAAGTGAAATAATGCGATGAAATATTTTAATGTAAATTTATATTGGGGGAGAGGTAAAAAGAAAAGAAAGGGGAAAAAAAAGCAGAATTTCACGATTGATATAAAAAATGTGCGTTAATTTAGCAGTTACGAAGGCACACAAATATGTAATGAGCATCAAAATGGTAGTTCATCACTGGAGCGAAATATGTATGTTACCGGCAATGTATGAAACACCGGCATTCTATAGAATGCCTAAGCATTGTATATAGTGCCGGACGATTTTAGGCAAAGTATGAAATAAGAGAATTATTACATACTTTACTGTGCATTTTATAGACAAATGCTCTTTAGGCAAAGTAACAAAAAAAAAAAAAAAAGGTTATGATAAGGCTTAAAAAAGGTTAATTATTAAATTTTAAAAAAGGTTATTATTAAATTGTTTTTAAATTTATTTATAAGGGTATTATTTATTTACGTTCAGTCCTCGAAAATACAAATGTTATTTTGAAAAATTAATGAAAGAGTGCCATTAAAAAACAATTCTTCGAAATATATATATAAAAAAAGATAGTGTTGATCTTGATACGGCGTAATAAATTTGTATTTTCTATCTGGCTGAGACTGGGAATCGGTAAGATCTACTCGGCAACGGAAGTTAAATTCAGAAACAATCATAAGTTTCACATCAGTGCCCTTTTTAATAACTTTTTGTTTTTTCTGGCAGGGCTCACAAAGGTGGTTGTTAAAGTTCAATATCATTACGTGTAACGTTTTTGTAATTGGTTGAAAGTTCTTTCGACATTCTGTCACGTCGTTCCTGTGCAGGACTCAAATGAGTTTTCATGAAATACGGAAAATAACTCAGCGAATGTGACGCAATATTGCATAGTACTGACGCTTTCTTTAACGGGATAAATGAATGTACTTTTGTTTTCCACAAACATCACAACTTAGCGATTCGGCGACCAGTAGTCCCGTGGTTCATTCTTAGTAGTCATTTTGGCCTTTTTACATCATTTATTAATTTCTGGTAAGTAGTTTCGGTTCTTCGAAACGAATCGGAAATGTATTTTGTACTTTGCCAGTTTGTCATTGTATTCTATAGAATGCCTAGGAAATGTGTAAAATGTGAATCGTTTCATACATTGCCGGCTAGTTTTAGGCATTATATACAATGCCTAGGCATTCTATAGAATGCCAGATTTCATACTTTGCCGGTAACATGTATAATGTTTTTAAGTCTTTTCATCAACATATTTCTTCAGCCCATTTTTTGCCTATCTTCTAGTGCCAATTCTAGAATTTAACCGTTAAGAGAAAATAACATATTATTTAATTTTTATTATCGTCTAGAAGAAAATTATAACACGCGCGACATTTCTGTGTGTTTTCTTTCCCGATATTTGTTTAACACTTCAAGCAAACTCTTATTTAATGCTGCGTGGAAGGAAAAGTGAGAAGATACAAGGCCGTTCGGTACATTGGGTACAACTGTTACGAAGAGATATAAGCATTTCACCTTCTACAGTGTAAGATATTTTATAAAACTAAATCTAAACCGTACTGAATTTACAATTAAATTGTTTTTAAATTTTAAATTGTTAAATTTTAAAATTATTAAGTTACAAATATTAAGCATTCATTTATGATATATATGTTTGGGAATCATAATAAATTTTGTTTTCCTCTTTCTAAATTAAAAGTTAAAAAAATGGTGAAATCTGTTCCACGAGGAAATTCAAAAGACTCTACGAAACTTCTGCGTCTGAATAAATTCGGAAATAAATGAAATACAAGGGGGAAAATATGCATTCTGCTCTTTTAGTTTTCACTCAAATGCTAAAAAGCTTTTAAAAAGGTTTGGTACTAAACTTTTGTTTTTCCCTTCCTAATTAGCGTACTTTAGCATACTTTATATTAGCATACTTTTTATATTCTGTCATGTAGACATCCCATGCTAAATTTCTAGATTTTGTGAGTTCAGATGATTAATATTGTTAATGAAATACAGTTCTCCATTTAATAAATACGGATTTAACGAATTTCTCGATTTAACCAGTATCTTTCATATTTCCAATAAAAGTTAAGCAAAATATTCAGATTTGACGAATATTTTATCTCACTTTAATACGCTATCAAAAAGTTCCAATTTTTTTAGTTTTGAAATTTTAAGTAGTTATTTTTCCTTAAAGATTGGGTCATGTTAGTAAACCTCGTTCGTGTGTATTTTAGTATTAGCATTTCTTCGGGTTAAAAAATAATCGTTGAGTTTGTTAATCAGGTGGAAGATTACGTTATTCAAAATTTGAGGGCTCTAGGTACCGTTGTTTTATCACAATGCCCATACATATATTTATGCAGAGTCTTCATTATTTAATTTCTTTAAATATAAAACAGGGCGATAATATTTGATGGCGATAATTTGAGAAGCGAAACGACATTTATAATGAATCAACGCAAAACACCAAAACGAAATTCAGAGCCCTCCTGAGCTAACGCCCTTTAGGCTAATAATAATATTTTTTTAAAAAATCAAACTGCGCAAGTAGAGCTTCATAATACTGGAATAAACATATCCTATAAAATGATACATAACAAATTATTAGTCGAATATTAATAGATTTGGAAAAAACATTTAAAATTATAATATTTGAATTACTCAATGCGAGGAATTTTGTCGGACATTCATAGAACGAAATGACCCTAAATCATGCCGGTTACTGATTATAAAATATTAATTCTTACTGTAAAATGCAATAAAATGAAACCCAAGCTATTTCCTACAGAAGATAATTATGAAGGCAATAAATTAATTAAAAAAAAGTTCTACAACGATAAACTTTCTGTATCGAACAGCTTTTTTAGTAAGATTTTTATACTCATACGAGCGCGGAATTTTTCTGTTTAACTGTACTATCATTATAAGGGCACAGCCCGATGCTCCTAGTCGGCACAAGCCGACCGTATAATCAAAAAATGCGACTGGCCAGAAAAAAAAAAAAAAAAAAAAAAAAAATATATAAGAAAAATTTTTTTAAAAAGGCAAAAATCTGAGTCTTATTGCCGAATTACAATTCCTTCTGTTTAACTGCATATTTGTGTATCTGCTTTCGTGTCAAAGAATATTCTTTATTAAGGGAATTTTATTGAAGTTCTCAGATGATTTCATAAATAACAATTATCTTGTTGCTGCTAAAAAGTATTTTCTGTTCATTTTAATACCCTGATCATAATTTTTTTGATAACGTATAAGGTGAGAAGGATCTCATGATACATGAAATAGCAGTATCTCTTCCAGGTGTTAAAAATCACCACCACGAGGCATGTGTACGTGTAGAATAATGAATGCGCGTTCAAAATTCTATTCCATCGCACTCGCGTTCAACTGATGCTCGTTATAAATAACAGGTCATTAACCAAGCTTTTCACCCGGCTGCACCGGTCCATTTACCTGGCCTATTTTTGACCTTTTTTCAAGTGACATGATGCTGCTGATAGTACTCTTTATTCACAATGAATCTGCAAGTTCGAAATGGGACGCTTTTTATAAAACTCACCTCAATGAGTGATTCTCGTAAACATCTTTTAATACTGAAGGGGGGCATAAAATATAATCTTTCAGTTAATTTTACAATATTTGATATAAAATTTTCAGATTTTATGATCTTTACTATCCGCTTAAAATATTTTTAAGTAAGGAAATGTGAATTACGATGGGTTTTAGTACAGTAATTCTATAGACTATTGATACGTAGTCTAAACTGTTTTCAAGTTGTTCATTTTCAAAAAGGAAATTTCCTTTCTTTCCCTTTTTTTTTTTAAGTAAAGCAATTTTGATTTCCTTTTCAATGCTTTTCTGAATTCGAGCGGACTTTTTTTTTTTTAATTCTGAAGTGAACTAAGAGCAGCTCTTTAAATTATTGAGAAAAATATATGCGAAGTACATATTACCAAGTAAAGGATGTCATTCAGAAAATTTTAACTATGCCCGCCTTTAATTTATTATGAAGTTATATAAGAATAAAAGTATATTCTATCATCATAATAAAATCTGATGTCTCCCAGTGTTTACAAAACTGAATTAAAAGCGGGCCATACAAGAGATCATGACGGGTACTTAAAAAGAAGACTGATAGTGAAATTAATACTAATCTTTAGTATTAATTTCACTATCAGTCTTCTTTTTAAGCGTTAATACTGAGCTTGTGTTTAGAAAATTAGGTCTTTCATTTATGACAATTCCTTAGCTAGCTAAAGTAATCTAAAATCTAACTAAATAAATAATTTTAAGTAACATAAACATAAGTAAATGTTTAATTTAATTAACTGTTGAAATAAAGATCAGATTAAGTCAATTAAATTATTTATCAATAAAGCATTATAAGTTGAATCAGTAATCGATATTTTAATCAAATGCCTTTTAAATATTAGAAATAAAATGTAATTTTACGTTAGTGAAAAATAATAAGCTTATCATAAGATTTATTTAGCACATAAACATAAAAATGTTGTTAACAGTATCGATAATAGCTACCTCACTGATTGATTGATTGAAATACGTTGTTCTCAAACTTTGCTTAAAATTTGAGTCGAATTACTCTTTTCTTTATCTTTACTCTAAAGTTTTTAAGTACGAAAATTTTTACAAAAATGAAAAATGATGATGAACTGATTTTAAGCTGATTTAGAAGATAAACATGAAAAATGGCATATCGGTAATATTTTGCGTATTCACTGAAATTTTCGTTTACGTTATCTTCAAGCAAAAATTTGATAGCAATCTAAATTCGAACAGCTTTTTTCTAAACTGATTCCTTTTCACTGAAGCTTTAATCAACTTAATCGAATTCAAGACTTGTAATGAGTGGTTTGAAAAATATTTACCTGGTGTAGGTATCCATAAACAGAGAATCACAATTATACATGCTGCACAACAAGTAATTCCAAAATTTCGGAACATAACCTTTTTGTTATTTTGCCTCTGTTTATTTCCGGTTTTTTTACCGTTTAAAACGTTCTAGGGAGGAGAAAATGATGTCTACGTCGGAAGAGAGTCCTTAGTAGAAAGAAAGGTTAACTCATAAGAAGTGCTCAAAATAAAATATCCAAAATTAGTACCAATCCCTCTGGTTGATGACGTACCAGCATAAAAAGCCGCCTTCGAAACGAAATAGCGAAATGGCTTACGATACATATGTCTCAAGAACAAATAATCATTTTACTGGTTATTCATGTCTCTCACCTGAGCCTGAAGTGCATGTGTACGAATTAAAAGTACGTGAAGCTGCGTCTGCTCTTCTCATCATCTCAACTTTCCAGATGTCCTTCTGTGAATATCTTAAATACATTCCAAAGAACGTGTCATAGATGTCTGTTGTCGGAAAATTACTCTTTATTCTTTATTTAAGAGGTATGTATGCAAAGTCATGTTATCAAAATTGAACTTCGTAATATTTTGTGAAACTCACGATTTACATATGAATATTTTTTAAGATATATTTTCACAAATGTTTGAACTAAGAGCAGCTCTTTAAATTATTGAGAAAAATATATGCGAAGTACATATTACCAAGTAAAGGATGTCATTCAGAAAATTTTAACTATGCCCGCCTTTAATTTATTATGAAGTTATATAAGAATAAAAGTATATTCTATCATCATAATAAAATCTGATGTCTCCCAGTGTTTACAAAACTGAATTAAAAGCGGGCCATACAAGATATCATGGCGGGTACTTTGTTTAATGTGAGAAAGGAAATTGTTATTAAATTATTATACGTTATCAAATGTTTTAGGCAACACTTTTCTCAATTCTCTAGAGTGGAAAGTAAATGAATAAGAAGGAAATTTTTCTTCCAATGACAGCTTGCATTAAAATGCACTATAGTATTTATTATCTTAACTAAATCTGTAGTTATATTATGATTATTATAATAATCATATAATACTAGAATTTATATCGTGCGGCTCTCTATTGGATCATTAGACTTTAAGATTATCTTCCTTTGGCTCTAAGTCTAGCATAGAAAACTTGATGATATTTTTCCTTGATTTATAACTTTAAAAAATTTGTATTTCCTATAGTTATATAAATTCCGAAGTGTTACATGTTACTGAAATTAATTCCCTGTGTCAAAATTATTTATTACAAACAGGAATTTCATAATTAAACAGGAAATCAAAAAGAGTTAAGAACTTTTCTAGTACCTTTCCTTGGTTCCATTAGTAAATTCATATTCTAAACGATTGCTTATATCTTTTAAAAAAAGTTAACAAAAGGTTCATTTCTGTTTACTTTGGTACATAATAGAATTATGAACTCATAAAGCAAAGTGGTATTTTTTAATGAGTTATTTTGTTTTTTCCTTCTTGCTTGAATGGCCCAGTGTGTGTTCCAGTATTCTTTTCTTTTTTGATGAATTTCTATTTTTTAATTTTTTTTCAGCTAACGAAGCATGCACATATGTACTTGAAAAACGCTGGTTGAGTAACAAACATGCTTCAGTTTTATTGAATGCGCATGTTTCAATTTTGGTTATGTCCTCGATATGCCAAAGCCATGACATATCTTCAAACCTTTTAAAGTACAAACTGTAGATAAACAAGGAAAAAGAATGAGCAAGACTGTTAACCAGTTTTCCACTATTATAAGCGAAGTAACTTTTTCTGCTCTGACGAAAACGAAATATTTCTTATACATTTATGGAGTTCGCTTTGAAGTGACATCATAAACGAAATATTATCTTTCTTTCAAGTTTTGTTTTAAAAATATTATTAGGCAGATGTAAAATATTCCTGACTGCGCATTTAAATGTGTCTTGAATTAGTAAATATGAACTGCGTTTTAAGAAGCTTGTAAAGACATCAGGTATTTTTTTTTTTTTTTTTGGAAGAAGTGAAAAATGAGCAACGCCTTCGCCGGGAATCCAACCGCGAATCTCTGGAATATGCGCCCAGCATGCAGACCACTACACTAGAAAGGCATGCTAAGAAGGCGGGAGAAATACCTTATATACTCCCCCTTTTAAAGGGTGACAGTGATTTTAGGGAACTTAATCGCCAAATTCTGGGTGAGGAGAATCATCATTCACCACCCTTTTAGTTCGAGCGCCACTGTAGAGACATTACGTTATTTCGAAGCAGGAGAGATGAAAAATGAGCAACGCCTTCTCCTGGAATCGAACCACACACCTCTGAAATACACGCCCAGGGTGCAGACCACTGCACTACGAAGGCATGCAAAGAAGGCGAGAGAAATACCTTATAAGCTCAACAGTGGCCGAACGGTAAAGTTACGGAATACTGGTAGTCACGGGACCTGGGTTCGATTCTAGGCAAATGGGCCGCTGCAAGGGCGTTTTTGTAAATTTCCCATCTGTAAAGTGTGTCCGAGCCAATTTTCATTAAAAAGTCTTCCAAGAAGCCATCCCTCCCCTCAGGAAGATAGCCCTTGTGTGCTTTGTCTTAGTAAAATAGACAAAGCCGACCTTTTAAGAAATGAATCAAATAAGGTAGACCTTCAGATTTCGATAACTTTTGTTACCTGATACGTTTTAGCAAAAATATACTAAGCTTGATTGTTTACAGAGGCAGAGTATGGCTGATTTCATCGCTTCTCCCCACAAAGTCTTTTCTCGTGAATCAAAATTATTCGAGATAAAATTAGCTCAAATTTTGTGTGACCCTATACAAATATTAGTAAAGATATGCCAACAGGTTATGCTTTTAAATGCGAATTAAAAAATATATAGTAGATCCTTTTTTTACATTAGAAAAATGTAATGTAGAAGCATTGGTTTCAAGCTACGGCTTGTTGAAATGAATTCGAAAAGCTGCATTTAATGCAGTTTTTAACTTTATATAACTGCTGAATCGATATACCTTTATTTGATTAAAAGTTATACAATAAAAGTTCGGCATTCAGTAAATTCGTCACATCCGAAAACCCAAAGTTTCGTTCACAGACTGACTGTTAACTGTTGATTGTTCACAGAAAACACGGACACTTTCTGTTTACAATAGGTTAATCGATTTATTCCTACACGACCATCATTTCATTCAGTGTAAAACTCGAAACTTGCTATGCGCCTTTCTGTCATTTCTCAGTTAGATTTTTGCAAAACATTGCATTTATATTTCATTTGCTTCCTTTATCTTTATTTATTTAAAATGTAAATAATAAAAAAAAGGAATAATTTTTGTTCTTATTATCCTTTGAGATAGTATATTATATGGTAACATTCAGAACTCAAATTGAGCCGGCAGCCGACTGAGTTATCTCTCAGTGATGGGGAATTTTATGCTGCTGAATTGCAGAGCGCCTTTCTAGCGTCTGCAGGAACTAAAAAAGGTACGCTTTTAGAAGATTGGCAAGCAGTTGCGCAAGATTGATTAATACTTTGGTAAATTCTATGGCCGACCAGCCGACATAGTGGTTATTAACGCCGCCATAGTGGTTAGTAACATAGAATTTTCCTTACCAATGGGCCCGTCTCGAATCTCGGAGAAGGCTTGGGCATTTGTAAGCTTACAGAGGCAGTGTGGCAAGGGGACACTCAAAATACACGGTGATCCGAAAGTCCTCTCGAGAGATTGTTCGTAGAGGAAAACCGATGGGACACCCTCGGAAAGCCCCCGTGTCATCTCCCTTTAAAATGAGGGCGGAACTGCATAGTTAGATCGGCCAGACTATGCCAGTACTAACTAAACTTTTCCGCTACATTTTTGTATTATTTTGAATTATGCAGGCCTGCTATCGTTTTAAAGCAAAATATGTACAAACAGTCAAAAGGAAATGAATAATAATAAACATTTGAAACGAAATGAATAAAAATAAAAAATATATGTTTGGATTAAATATATATAGTATGATGCGCATTTAGAAATAAATATTTGGAGTATGAGTTGCAACACATATCTGGAAGCCCTATGAAATTCTAGGTATTTTATCATATAATCATATTTTGTAATATTATTTTTGTAATTTTATATTTTGTAATATTATTTTTTATTTCAATGGAAATTTATTTAAATGCATCCTTCGGTATTAATTACGATTTATTAATTCAGATCAAGCAGTTTAAATTTTAATCTATAAAAGGTAGAATGAAATCCACGAAAACTGGCAGTGCAGAAAGCAATTGACTTTTTCCACCTAACCCTTTTTTCTCTATATAAATGCAATGAATCAAAGGTTCAAAAACAATAATATTAAAGAAAAATATCGCTGTGTCCTGAAACTGCATTACGGAAATAGCATACTGCTTTTGATGACGTTACGATGACGTCAAACCTTACACAAGGTTTAATTGGAGAAGCACTGGTATGATATTGACATATAACAGGCGATTTTGTATGATATTGTAAAGGTAATTTATTAGGATTTTCCATATGTAAAATTCAAGTCTGATGTCAGATTATAGCGCATGCTCAAAAAACGAAGACAACTTTAGCGCTTAAAATATATGTGCTCAGTGCTTGATATTCACTTCGGGAAAAATTGCGACAGGGCGAAAAGAAATTCTGACAGTGTGAAACATGCGATATTACACAAAACAAGCTTAAACGTTTTTATTTTTTATTCAACTCTGTTTACTCTTGTTCGATCCGAGTTAATCACGATAGCTAAACTGCGAAGCAAGCTTTAAAGGTTTAGATTGAACTATTCAAGTTATAGCAAATAGTTTGAATAGGAAGGCATTAAAACTGCTTAAGGGTGGACGCCTTCACGGTATACTTGTAAACGAAGTTGCCTTGTATTCATATTTTGGTATAAAGAAACAAAAAAATAATTTAAAAAAAAAAACTTTGCAGCAAAAATATTTCAAATGTTTGAGCGGCCAGTTCCGTCACCTAGGTTGGTTACGTTAACTGAATGCAGCAGAGTTCATGAAAGCTGTTTGCTTAATACGGAGGGGGGGGGGGTAGTATGCGGTAGTAGAAGACTTTTTAAGGGACTGGATCATATTTACGTTTCACATGGGAAAGACCATGAAAACTAATCATGTAGCCAGCCTATTCGCCTGGGTTCGAACTGCCAGTTTCAGTGGTCTTAAGCACTCGGATATTGATAGGCTGATTTGAAAAACAAGCTACATATACTTATACATAATTATGAGTAACTATTTTTTTATTTAAAAAAATTGTTTTAATTTTTTGGCAGGCTGTCAAATTTACTGCTAAATTGCTAGTTTATATCGGTTTTCATGTGTTAAACTGGAAGCTAACTAAAGTTACCCGAAACACATCTTTTGGAGGTTTAGGAGGAAAGTTAACTGCTCATTATTTTTTTGGTGCTACCTCGATCGTCTTCTCGTTTTGCGAAGATAATCGATTTTGAGATTAGCTCATGCCTAACAGGAATTTTGTTGGTACAATTATTGGTACAATTATTATAAGTACAGGAGTTCAATCAATGATTAATCTAACTCCTCATCTTACCATAGAAACATTAAGGAAATGAACTGCTTTTTGAAGAATAATTCCAGTTAAATTTAGTCTACATTATTAACCTTCTTGAGGTTTAGTGAGTTTACTTTTCGCTATGGTTTCTATTGAGTACGTGACTATTTGAATTTAATGAGAGATTTGAACTCTCATGCCTTTCAAATCTGCAAAAACTAGAACCTTCATGATTTTTTTTAATCATTATAATTTTTCGAGGCCTGATTTAAGAAAAGCGTAAACATTTTAACTCAAAACTTTTGCAAGATTAGTTTTATTATTGTCGAATAAAAAATGTGTTCAAAAAGGGGATAAGGATAGAAAATAATTGCTACAATTTCAATGAAATCTGCATCACCAATATCCTGCCGTAGAGACCCTGAGTGCTACATTATTTCACCATGTCAATACGAGAAATCGGCCCAAACTCTTAAATAACTGGTGGGTTACATTTTCTCGAGAGTTTTATTACTGTCGAATAAAAAAATGTGTTCAAAAAGGGGGTAAGGAAAGAAAATAGTTGCTACAATTTCAATGAAATCTGCATCACCAATATCCTGCCGTAGAGACCCTGAGTGCTACATTATTTCACCATGTCAATACGAGAAATCGGCTCAAACTCTTAAATAACTGGTGGGTTACATTTTCTCGAGAGTAACTCAGAATCTCTCTGAGTAACTCTCGAGAGTAAGAATCATCTTCATAATCCTAGACATATATAATATGTTGTACAGCGTCTAATAGAATTTTTGAATCAGGAAACATGAAAAATCCGCTATGATCTCCCCGGGGTTCGACATCCAAATCTTCCAACTAACAGCCGAAAGTGCTTCTAGTTCCCCGTAGACATGCGATGAGGAAGAAGAAATATATTGTATATGTTTTCAGCAACTTCACAGCATGCAAACATCACATCGAATACACAAGTACTTGCGACATGACTTATTTAGTCGTGGATTTTGCACTTTGAACTGTTAACCGAATTTTAAATTGTTGCGCAAATACGTTTTGTGAAATTTTTGTAAGAAAAGGAGTTGTAAGATTCAAGAGTTTTAATTATGTGCATTTTCCTATACCAAATTTCATTTGCTTGTTTTTAACACATAAAATTATAATTTTCATACTGTATTCTTAGCTTTTTTTTATTTTAATGAAATAAAAAATTTTTGATATTATGTAAAGTTTGTCCCCCTTTTTTTTAACCCAAAGGCCGTTAACCCAGAAGGGCTATTACATTCGTTTTGGCATTTTGCATTGATTCACTTTCTCCGTTGATTTGCTGAAAGAATTTTGTATGTTCTTTTATAAATGCAACATGAATGTTACTAAAATAGGCGTACTCAATACGACGTTATTCTTAATTTGATGCGTTACAAGCGATATTCGTGTCTCAGTTTTGATTTAAAGAATATTTCTTATGTATCCAAACTCAGTTAAACTTACACATATCTATTTATATACATCTGTATTACTACGGTACCCTCTAATTCTTTTTTTGAACATTATTGCATTCCCAAATGGCTAACAATGCGCTAGTTTCTCTGATACTCCAGCGAACAGTCTGTTGTATGTCAGACATGTTGTTTACTGTGCTTGTTTGTCATGTGAATGGGACACGTTAGAAAAATCGGTTTCTGCAACCTATCGAATCTGCTCTTTTCAACTGGACTTTAACTGTATATAAATATATTTTAAATACATTTATGTATTTTTACGCAAAATTGCAAATCTCAAATGAGTCTCTAAAATGTCTCTAAAAACACCCTTCAACATACACAATTTATTATATCATTTGATATACCACTCATTTATTACATCATTTGATGTGAGGAACACTGAGATTTTATAATAAATTCATTATATTACAGTTGTTTAACTTGATGGTCCAAAAGTTGTGAATAGTGGAAGGATCTGACAGCGTATCAAATGTAATGAGACCAGATGTATTCCATTTACACATCAATGCATGCCAGCGCCATTAGAATGGGGTAAGGAATGTCTTCCGAAAACAGCGTGATTTATTGTTCTACTTTTTTCTTGGCAGAAAAGTTACTTTACGGAGAATTTTCTAATATCATTAATCAAACTAATTGTTTTCGATCTTAGTGAGACTTGATTATAAACTTTCCATCATGTGTTAAATTTTCATGACGTCCTCATTTCTTGCTTTAAGGTTTTTTTTTTTTTTTTTTTTTTAGGGATTTCTTCAATTTCTCCAAGTCAAAAATTCCCCTGGAGACATTTTTGATCGGTCGTTGCAGTCAATATTATTTATTAAGCTTCTCTGGTCGGTATGGTGATTCGCTGAGCCGGCTGCCATATCTTTGAGTCCGGTTTTGAACCCCATAGAAGACATATTTATAAATGTGTAATGTTACTGCGGTATGGGGGTGTTCTTAAAAATCCGTCGAGTTGAAAGTCTCTTCGAGAAGTTTGTATAGGAATGCAACACCAAAAATATTATTTATTGAGAAATTATTTTAATTCTTCTGAACAACAAGAGAAGTGTACTGGTAGAGTTAATGATAAAAATAATGTTTGGTGTCATAATAACTTTATTAATCACAAAATAAAACAGTTTTTTTAGGCTAAATGCTATGTTACAGTGTTGTGCAACTTAGCAAATCATTTTAAGCGTGACATCGATAGAAAAATTATCGATTTATGGCCTCTCAATTTTGTTAGGAAATTTCCTGTTAGAGGTCGCGTCTATGAAGGACTTTTGCAATGCAGTAAACGTTCGAATAGTATGAGGACGGAGGGTAACTGAGTTTATCTGTTTAGCGCAAATTTAAAAAATTCTGTAATTTCGTTTATATTTCTCTTTTCGTCAAAATGAATAGCTTTGTCAGTTTTGCTTTAACTGTCTTGGTTTTTGTAGTTTCACAAATAACTGTAGGTAAGAATAATTTTGTTTTTATTCAAGTAGTATTATTGTGATACTGAAAATTAAGAGAGCGGTGCTCTGCAGAAATACATTTTTATGCAAATTTTTGTGTTTGCAGTTAAATTTAGCAATTTAACTTCTCTGTGCATTTTTAAAATTTGTTAATTCAGTGGCATATTCCAGAAAATGCATGTCCTATTTTTATTTTTGATTTTGGGTTTGCTTGTTTGTTTTAGCGTCAATCTTTATGCAGATAGATAAATATGATGTTGATTTTAATAAGCTTTTCTCCTGCAAAGATGAATATGTTATTATAAAATGATTCCTCCTTTATCATATACCACGATATTTGACTGGAACTGCTCAAAAATCCCATGAAAATGCATTCTCTTAATATAATCGAAAGTTGTAATCTGAACTACTTAATTAAACTTGAACTTTCCTTTGAATTATTTTCTTATGTGATTCAGAAATAGTGTTTCAAACTTCAAAGAGGAATAGGAGATGATTTTAAGAGAAAAATTGTTCTGAAAGTTATCTTAAATATTTTATTGCAGTAATTTTTTTCTTGGATGAAAGTAATTGATGTATATTATTTAAGTTGTGTTATGCAATCATTAACTTCCTTTGTAAAAAATAATATATTCATTTGATATGCTTGTTCATCATTTATTCTGCTGAGCTCTTCCTCCCCCCCAATAAGACGTATACTTTTTTTAAATACATAATTTTATGAAATTTGAATACTGTATGAAACAGTTTAAAATTTTTCATATTAATAAATTAAAAAAACTTTATTTAAAATATTTGGTAAAATCCTAGTATACGGCGCGATTTTGAAAATTATCGCAAACACCAAAAATTACTAAAAGAACGTCTATGTATATATAGTGATAGTATACTATACACTATATACTATCACTATATACATAGTATATACTATATATAACTATATAGTATATTCTTTGAATACTCGTTTACTGCTCATCGTATATGTCCCTTTTCTACTGCTCATCATAAAAGTCGCCAAAAAGTAGCCAAATCCCATGTGCACCAGATACAAGGATTAAACCAAATATTTAAGGAATAAATTATTTTTAATCTTAATAAAAATGAATTGCTATTAATGAAATACCATTAAGGTTACTTTTAATTATTTTCAACTGAAATCATCTTAATTAGACCCACTTCTTAATATAAATTATATTGTAATAGTGCTTTGAAATGTACTTATATTTTAACTTTTAGTGTGGACTTAAAAGTGTTGAATAGATTATGCGGAATGGAAAGTTTAAAATCTTTTCCTACTTATAACATTGTATGTTTTATAATCTCTAAAGTATTTGGCTTAATCCTTGTATACGGTGGATTTTACCAAGTATTTTGAAAGCTTATACTAATAGCTTAATAATTAAAATAAAATTATTTAGGAAAGATTGTAAATTTAGAGTTAAAATAAGCTTAGCTTAAATATTAAGAAGTTGCTCTAGACCAGCATTTCTTGAGTCCACAAGACAAAACATTATACTTTTGGGGCTCCTGATAAAATGTTATTCATAAAATAATTGGCTCTAGTGTAAAATCTTCGATTAGCGACAATTTTTTTAAAATTTTGGCAGTGAAACCTCACTTGTGGTTACCATGATAGTTTTAACTTTGTTTTAGCTTCCTGATTTTATTTAAATGAACATAGATTGATGTGTACATGGACAAATTTAAGGCAGTGCACAATGTCTAGTTTGTGCAATTTTATGATGTTTTTTTAAGTGTAAACAGGTCGATGTGTACATGGGCACAGAGTTTATGCAATTCTTTGACTTCTTATTTTGGTTTTGTATAGCGGCCATCTTGAAATTGTGCCTTTCTGGTGAACACCATTTAAAACTACAGAAGGTGATCTTGGTGTCAAAAGAATCGCCAAAAAACAAGGGGCACTCTATTGTAAACTTTTACCAAATAATTTAATAATAATAATAAAATTAACTAATCTACAGTGAGCAGGGTGAAATAATTTAATCAGGAGTGAACAGTGGTACAGCCGATTTCCCTCCATAAAATAAAACTACTAATCTTTCAGTCCTGTTTTTTAATATTTATTTTCTTTTATTTTTTAAAACTTTTACTTCTCAATTTCCTTTTCATGTTCAACTTTAATACTTAAAGTTAAGTGTACAAATAGTAAATAATAAGATTACTCTCATAAAATCTGAACCAGATATTATTATGCTAGTAGCAAAACATCAGTCCCAAAGATCTCATTAGTAGGGATGACTATATTTATGAATAAACTTGCATATTAACACCATCACCTTGGCACAATTTGGCAGTCTTTTACAGATGCCAAATTATTTATTAGGTCAAAATTACTTATTAGATGCAAGTTGGCGATTTTCACAGCTTTTTTTATTAAAATTCCCAAACTATTGATATTTTAATTAGTCGGCAAACATTATCAACATGTGAAAAGAAAAAAAAAAATTTTTTTTTTGAAATCCAAATTTTATTAAATAAGGATTATATGCTACATTAAAAAATATACACACACACAATTTTCTTGAAATCCTTCTGTAATTTAAAATGACGTTCTTCCCATATACATAGTGATCAGTTTTTTTTCCCCAAAACATCAGAGAGTGCATAAACTCAGCATTGCACACCTCCTGTCTACCAGACTCATTGCATCTTTAGCGATTTTGTGGTAAAATACTGTATTCCTGCAGAATTTTTACCACAGCTTCTATCATTCCTGGCAAGTTTCACAAACAATATTTTAAATTTGAGTTGAGAAAGGTTTGAATCTTGTTTGAGATTTGGGTTAATCTTTGGATTATGGTAACTTGGCGAAAATCTGGCGACCAACCCTGCTACAGCGACCTGCTAGTTTTGTTTTGGACACCATTTTGTTTTCGCGAAGTAAAGGAATTTTTTTTTTTTTTTTTTTTTAAGTCAACATTTTTTTTCAACAATCTGCTAGCCGAATTACGCTTATGCTAGAACTTTTATGGAACAAAAGTGCTTAATCATGATGAAGATTAGGTGCGAAATCGGGAGAAAGTGCGGAATCGCCCACTGCTTGCCGCGTTTTAAGAATTGCACATACACGGTATCATCCATGTACATGTCGACCTATTTTCACTTAAAAAAACATTCCAGAATTGCACAAAAATGGCATTGTGCACACTCTTGACTTTATCCATGTATACTGCTAAAGTCCTAGCTAGTAACCTTTATCGCCTTACCAAAATGTCACCAAACTACCTGTTACCATATTTCAAAGATTAGACGAGATTTGTTTATATGTATGTGCCATTAGGTGCTATAATCCGTTACTTTAAAATAGGTACTTCAAGGTTTTTCTAACTCTTCCCATTTGTGATTGCAACATAAGACATCATTACAGCATAACATTTTTTTCTGCACTTTATTCGGAACTGTAGTTCAAGTCAACCAGCATTTGTGCACTTTTGACAGAGTGAAACAGGCTAAATGGAAAGAGAAGGGGGGAAGAAACAATTCAGCTGTTGAATGTCTGCTACATTTGTCATTACGGTTGTTAATGGTTATGAGATGTTTTTCTAAAGTAGCAGAGTAAAGTAATGTGTGTAATATAGTAATGTATGATGAAGATTTTGACCTGTAGATTATTATCATGTTTATTACATCATAATTAATAGCTTAATATAATTAATATTGTATAATTTTGTCATCTTATTTACCATATAGTATGAAAATGAATTATCTTGTAACATCAGTTTTTTAAAATTTTAGGAAATAGCATAGAATGTTATCACTGTCGATCAGAAACAGATCCAGAATGTGCTGCTGGAACACCTGATCCTAAATATTTGACAAACTGCAGCTCACTCAAGGGTGGTCCACAGTTCGTAGCTTGTAGAAAAATTGAAAATTATGTTGATTTTCAAGTACTGGATCGTAAGTATAGTTAAAATAATCTTTTGGTTGTTTGTAATATTGCAGGTTTTTCTGCTTAATGTAGGTAGAGTTATCTTACATAAGATGAGATGATATTAAAAAAAAAAAAAAAGTTTATATCATTTTAATATGGGAAATATATTTTTTGCTTCCATATCCGAAAAAAAATATTTTAAAGTATAGTGAATAATGCATAAAGCACTAAATAATATATAAGGTAAATACTGTCTCTATATAAATGGAAGTAACCTATGCAGTATACACTGGTGTGCAAAAATTAAGGACGAGACGGTTTTTTCAATATAACTTTGTACAAAAGCTTTCCAAATCAACACATTTAATACCGTAAGATCCCCAATACGTAAGGACATGAGTAATGTAAGCAACACTTATTAAAAGAGAAATCAGAGGGATAAAAAGAAGCTTTATTGAAAAAGTAGCATGGAGCGCAATGCAACTGAAGGCCGAAACATCTCTGTGATGGGTGTCCAGCAAGAAACATCCGGTCTTTAATAGGGGATATGATCTCCCCTGACTGCTAGGCAGGTTTCACAGCATCTGCCCATGCTGAGAATGAGGGTGTCAATGAGTTGTTGAGGCATTGCTGCCCATTCGTCTTGCAGCACCAATCGAAGCTCCGGAATCGTTATTGGTGGTAAGGTACGAGCTGCCAAGCGTCTGCCTAGAAAATCCTATACATGCTCGATGGGATTGAGATCCGAAGATCATGCCGGCCAATCCATACTTTCAATATCCTCACTCTCTAAGAGCTGTTCAGCAGCTACTGTGCGATGACATGATGTATTGTCGTCCATGAAAAGGAACTGCGGACCCATAGCGCCTCTAAAAAGACGCACATATGGAAGAAGAATCTCGTTAGAATAACGGGTCCCGTTGACTGAACCTGCGTCGAAGATGTGAAGGTCTGTACGACTACCAAGCATGATGCCTCCCCAAACGAGAACACCGCCACCTCCAACCTGTCCCTTTCAATGATGTTCGAGGGATGATTGCGGCTTCCCCGCTCTCTCCAGATGAGTATGCGATGAGAATCGTTACTCAGACTGAATCTGCTCTCATCTGTAAAGAGTACTTGTCCCCATTCATTGTCTCTCCAATTCCAGTGTTCCCGGCACCACAGAGAACGCCTTCTCCGATGGGCAGTCGTTAGAGGTACACACCGTACAGGGTGTCGCGCAAACAGACCACCACCGTGCAGTCTTCTGGCCACGGTAAAACGCGATATCGGTCGTCCAGTCGCTTGTGTCGTGTGTCTAGCGATTTCTCCCGCTGTCTGCCGCCTGTTTCTTCTGGCTTGTAAGGCAATATACTGGTCATCTGCGGGTGTGGTTCCTTGTGGACGACCACTACTAAACCCCCGGATAGCTGTTCCTGTAGTTTGAAATTGTCTCCAAAGTCGTGAAACGATGCTGTGAGCAATTCCGAACTCTGCAGCCACACTTGTCACACTGCGGCCTTCCTCCAACTTCCCAATGATTCGGCCTCGGGTAAAAGCATCCAGATGTCGTCTAACATATTGATTATTCGCCATTTCTCGCTGAGGCAGCAACTCGGTATGATTTTAACTGCTATACGGCGTGCAATCTCTTTGCCAGAAATACTGATCTTACCCCGACAACATGCTTTATACTACTCAGACACTCCCCCATTACGCGCATGTGCTACTGTACATCACCTTACTTAATCTCCTGATTGGTCTTTCTGTCCGCTCTGCCTCTTCGTTCAGCTGATATGCTAATTTTTCGACTTCGTCTTTAATTTTTGCACACCAGTGTAGTTTCACCTTCATGAATTGAAACTATTGTAAATGTACTGAAAGGCTTAAAAATAGTGACAGAGATGATGGGGGTTTAAATGAATCACGAGAAATACAAGAGAAAGAGGATCACTGAAGTCACTGCCCCTGTAGTGCCTCTGTATTCTCGACTTCAAATTATAATATGATTTTTGAGTAATATAGATAATTGCAGTATGGACAGTTTTTAAAATTTTTCTGTGTTAATATATGCAATATCCAACATTTGAAAGCAGATGCCATATGTTAAAAGGAAAAGCTTGTACATAGTGAGAATATATATATTTTAAATTTGTGTGTAAGATTTTTTAATGTTAATCACATTTTGTGAAATATGAAGTAATAAATGTGCTCATTAGAAGTAATAATAATGTAAATTCATTTGTAAAAGTCAGTTTGCAGTTCTGATGAAAATACTTTTTTGAAAAATTGGCAAGTAAAAAGGTTATGTTTTAATATTTAGTACAAAGTCTAAAATTTGAATGTGCAACCTTCTACCCCCTTCCCTACTTTACCCATGCATTTATTATTTTTTCATGTTTGGGGTCCCAATTCTTAATTTAACTTCTTTGTAGCTACCTTCTTGTTTGGCATATGTCTCAAACTGAAACATCATCATTGATTTTACACATACTGAGTAATTTATATCAATGACCCTAACCTTAGGGAATCATTATTTATTAGTTTTTGCTTTCATCACCCCTAGATATCAACACACAACAGTTTGAGAAATGACTCATAGCAATGTCTAAGCAATTTTTTTAAAAATATTAGTAACTGAATACCAAAGAGCATGGTGACCTTTATGTTACCATTACACATGAGGATGATTTCAGACCTCAGCAAACTGCACTGTAAAATGTTGAATGTGTTGACAAGAATTTTAACTGAACTGTATTTTCATATGTAAAAAATAGATTTTGTAAATGGTACTCATAAGCCAAAAGATTACAGGTAATGCTGTTTGAATTGAGAATAAATGATTTGTCATACAGATAAGCCCAGGATCGGCGCCAGAGCTGGAGCGGCTGCATTAGGTAGGGGTGGCAAAATGTTTAGAACTTGGAGAAGCACCGAGGAGCAAAATTAAGGGATGGTAAAATCTTAATTTAGGAAATGCAATGGGATGCAAAATTTAGAGGCGACAAAATTTTTAGAATTTAGTGAGGTACTTGGCAATAGATCCATAGAGACTGCACTGGGCCACAAAACATCTAGTCCCAGCCCTGGATAAGCATTAAGTGTATGTGGGATATTATCATTTCTGCATGTGCAGAAAATAGGCATAAGTATAATAAATAGCTAAACTGATATAATTCAGGTCTGTTATCAGTGGGCAATAGAAGCAAGACAAAATTTACTGGAATAACGTGCTTAGTCATCAGTCTCATGATACATCGTCAGTAGTGTATAGCGGATGCTAGCTAAGCTTTATGATGATAGCCTTGAATTTGAAGGTTTTCAGATATTGCAAACAAAAAGTGAAACTTTTCAGTTAATGGAATTTATGGAGCATTGGTAATAAATGAAGGTGTGATGTAACAAATTATTTTCCATTGCAATTACCATGACCTAATCATCAATTAACTAACGGACGGCGAAATCTATTGTATGGTTCTTAAGCCAGAAAATATCAGTATCTGTAATGAAGAAACTGCAAGAAAGGTTATTGAGAACCAAAGATTTCAATTTACAATTTAATGGGAATACTCAACACAATAATTACAGGACTTGAACAATGGAACTTTTGGATAACCAAACAAGATATTATGTTAATCTATAGAATTAAAGAGACAGTATTAGCCCAAAATGTTAGGCCTCTTAAACAACTTACTTTGAAAAAAAGTTTAATAAAGCAAACAAATATTGAAATTTTTTTTCCAAACTTTGATTTCCCTAAGCTCATAAATGCTTCATTATTCCATAAATCCCTATTTCATATTTTTAATTTTATGATTTTCTACATGTTATCTTACTAGATTTAAGTTGATGATTTAATATCTGGAAAAATCCCTAATCCGGAATCGTGGAAGTCCTGATGATTACAGATCTTGGACTTAATACTGTAGTTGAATGTTACAAAATATATATTAGATCAGTTTTACCTAACTTATTCTGTTCAACAGGAAGAGAGAGCCCTATAAGCACCTGAGTAGTAACATTGCTGAAAACTGGTAATTCGATCTGTGTTTAAATTCAGATGAACAGGCTGGCTACATGGGCGTTTTCATAGTTTTCCTCATGTATAATACAGATATGATCCAGTTTTTTGTAAAGCGTCTTCCACAAAGGCATCTCTTCCCTTAGGCAGATAACCCTTGTGTGGTTTCCTGTAATCAAATAACCAAAACCAAATCAACTGTAAGAGAAACATAGCAGTGTAAAATTAAAGTTGTTTTTTGGGGGGAGTAACCTTACAATGGCATATCTACTGCAGGCTAAGATTGTCATTTTGTTTAATTTTTGGTCTTTGAACATCTTACATATAAAAGTTTAAGAAATTTTACATCATGTGCCAGCAGTATGTTTAAATTTTACGTCACATAACTTGACTGAAAATGATTTTTTTAAAGTAATATAATGAAACTGTGCATAATTAGTTTAAAGCTGCAAAAAATTATTAAAATCGGTTAATCTTTGGATTATGGTAACTTGGCAATTTTTTGGCGAAAATTTGGCAACCAACCCTGCTACAGCAACCTGCTAGTTTTTGCTTAGAAGCCATTTTGTTTTCACGAAGTAAAGGCATTTTTGTTTTTACTCAACATTTTTTTCAAACAATCTGCTAGCCGAATTATGCTTATGCTAGAACTTTTATGAAACAAAAGTGCTTAATCATGACGAAGATTAGGTGCAAAATTGGGAGAAAGTGCAGAACCCCCCACTGCTTGCCGCGTTTTTAAGAATTCCACATACATGTACATGGTATATGTTATATGTACATGGTATCCATGTACATGTCGACCTATTTTCACTTAAAATAACATCCCAGAATTGCACAAAAATGGCATGGCGCACACTCTTGACTTTATCCATGTACTGCTAAAGTCCTAGCAAGTAACCTTTATCGCCTTACCAAAATGTCGCCAAACTACCTGTTACCATATTCCAAAGATTAGCCTTAAATTCTTGTCTATTTAAAAAATGCATGATTTTTATAAAATTTATGATTATTGAGTCAAGGGACAATTGCTCGAAGAATTAATTTCGTTTTGGCATTTTGCATGTATTCACTTTCAGAGTTGTTTCACTTTTCAAATTGTTGCCACCAAATATCGCCCTGTATTACATTTAAAGAAATTAAGTAATAAAGAATCTGCATAAATGTATATATGTTTCTCGCATTGTGATAAAACAATGGTACCTAGAGCGATCAAATTTTGAATAATGTAATCTCTCGCGAATAATATGCATGAGCCCTAATTTGGAATTTGTTTTATTATCAATTTCATATTTTGTAAACCTTTAACCAATTTTTTATTAGCAATCTCAAGGATCTCGAAGCAAGCAATAGCAATGTTGTACAGAAATTTTTTTTTTATCTCCAGCGTACGAGACTATGTATCGGAAATTCTAAAGATATGCTCATTTTAAAATTATTTTGCGATATTGCTGTTGAACTAAATTTTATGGTTTAAGTGCGAAGAATATGATATTTAATAAATAAAGGTAACACACAAAACATTACAAAAAATGCCGTTTTTGAGATATTACTTAAAATCTAAAACCCTTCAGATTTTTTTAATATATTAATTTTTTTATCATTTTGTCTCTTAATTTTTAAATAAGAAGAGATATATGTATGGGTGTCATCTTTTCAGTCTATGCCAGCTTCCTTTTAATTTTTTGTTTCTTTTTTCAATTGTATCAAAATGTATCATGAATTTTTATTTTCATTTCCTAGACATAAATATTAAGTGCAGTGGCGTAACTAGAACTCTAGGGCCCTTATGCAAAAAAAAAAAAAAAAAAAAAAAAAAAATCTTGCCCACTTCCCTATAATTTTACAGTACTAACCCACCTAAAAAAAAGTTTAGGTTTCCAGGAGTTAACATTTTGATATTGATTTTTATCAGATGAGGTTTAATAGTCAGAAACTGATATAGAGACGCATGACTTCCTTGTGTCGTCTATTAAATTATACACTTTTTTGCTGCATTTCATTTAAAGTTATTTCCTCGAATAATTTTAACTTAATTATCCAATCAATTATCACTGCCAATTGCAATAAAAAAGATAGTTCACAAATGGATATTATAGCAGCCCCATGTGCAAAATTTCAACGCTAATCGTTTTTGAGTTGTGCATACATATGTACATGCGAACATACAAATGTTGAGGGGAAAAAACCCTTTTGAATCCATATTACAATCCTTTTTGGAAAAACGAATCATTTATTCTGTCTCTATGTACAGACGTCACACCCTCCCCAAATGGATTCGGTTTATGCGATTACAGCAAAGCCTATCTTCCTATGGGAAGGGATGCCTTCATGGAGGTCTTTCTAAGGGAAACTGGCTTGTATACACGTTATACATGGGGGAAAACTACGAAGACCCATGCAGCCAGGCTGTTCGGGGGATTCGAACCTCGGACTGAACTGCCAGTGTTCAGCGACTTTACCTCTCGGCCGGTGGTGGGTCCCAGATGGATTCGGGAATGGTCAAAATGAATATTTTCTTTCAAATGTGACAACCAATGTGACAAAGTTTTTTGCGATTACTTTGTACGCGATATTCGTCAAAGAAATGAAAAACAGAATTTTAATTTCATCTAAAAGCTTTTTCAAACAAATACTACTTAAACAATCAATTAACTCATTTTATGTTGCAGAATTCAAATACTTAACAGTGGACGAACTTTTCGGATAAAAGGAAGTTTCTTAAAATGCTTTATGCAAAAAATGTACTTTTGGAATTTTTCAACTTTCGGTTCTGTTCATATAAAATTTGCGAAATTTTCAGCTCGCGAAATCACCGATATATTCATTTTCGCGAAAATAAGGGCCTTTACAGTAATTAGAGCTCCCAGAAAAGGTGCATAAATGATGCCAAAATGTTTATTTATCATGAATTTAAACGTATAGGTGAATTGACAAATGGGCATTAATATTCAGACAGAAAGCTATCATACAATTTTAATTAGTTCTATTCCATACTGAAAAGATTTCTTGTATATGATACAATTGTATCTGTATGATCATACATACAGGGGTTGGACAAAAATATGGAAACATGTTTCTTTGCTTAATATGGTGTAGGAAACCCGTTGGCATCCAAAAGCTTGCAGTCTTCTCGAATGGATAAATACAGTTCCTGTAGTTTGCCAAGGGAATATTATACCATTCTTCCTGCAAAACGGTGGCAAGTTCAGATAACGATGTTTTGGCGGTGGATAACGAGAACGCACTTTCCGTTCCAATGTAGACCACAAAGGTTCGATAATATTCAGGTCTGGTGACTGTGGTGGCCAGGGGAGATGGGACAACTCATCCTCGTGCTCAGAAACCAGTCCTGGACAATGTGAGCTGTGTGAACAGGGCTTTGTCGTCTTGGAAGACACCACCATCACCATCGGGGAACAAAGTTGTACCATGGGATGAACTTGATCGGCCAAAATGTTCACATAAGTCTTGGCAGTCATGTGCCCTGACACAGTTATCATGGGGCTAGCAGAGAACCACGATATGGCTGCCCAAACCATAACAGAACCCTGCCATGTTTCACTCTTGGCAACAAGCAGTCTGTCTTATAGGCTTGAGATGGCGTTCTTCCAGACGTAAACTCGGCCAGAAGTGGGAAACAATGTGAAAGAAGACTCGTCAGACCATATTACTCGCTTCCACTGCTCTATAGGCTTTATGTTTATTAAACACCACCTTTTCCTGTTACGGGCATTAGCATCACTGATGAGTGGCTTCTCAACTGCAGCACGGCCAGCAATTCCCTGTTTATGAAGCTCCCTTCTAATTGTTTTGGTACTCACAGGGTTCGGTAACACAATATTCATTTCAGCAGTAACTTTTGCAGCTGTGGGCTTTTTTTTCGTCACAATTGCCCTTAATGATCATCTGTCACGATCACTCAGGACACACTTTCGTCCACGCTGTGATTTAGCAGATGATGTTTTTCCGCTTTTTTTCAAATATGCGGAATAAATCTTTTGATACAGTACCTCTTGAAACACTAAACACCTCGGCTACCTTGCTTACGGAAGCACCTACCATACGTGCTCCAACAATTTGCCCACGTTCGAAGTCTGTTAACTCTGACATAATGCAATGACAACCTCAATAACAGTACTCCGACAACAACTGAACTGTTTAGCACATTTACGAAGTTGTATAGGTGGCGTCAGTAGTCAAAAACGCCAGCGCCACCTACATATTTCATTAAAATCAATCTTTCTTTTCAAACATGCATTTCACAAGGTGTTTCCATATTTTTGTCCATCCACTGTATATATCAAACAAGGTGCATTTTAAAGTAAAACTGATTAGAAACTTTAGTATTAAAAATAGTTACGATGTATTTTAACAGAAGTATTGGTTGGTAGGGTTATTTTAATATTAAATGTTGCTTAATGAAGAAATTCTACTTAATGGTATACATTTAAATTAATTTTATTGTTCTGCTTTAATTTGAAATGGCTTTTATAATCCATTTCTTTGTTACTTTTATGTAATCACACAGAATTATGGTAATTTTTCAGTTTTCATGTGATTTATGTTTATTTTGAATTTTATTTGCAGCTGAGGTCTGTTTAAATAACTTGATAATTTTTATAATGGAAATAGTCCTGAAGATGTACCTTTGGTAACTGTATTACTGCCTGAATGTTTTGCTTTCTTTAAACAAATACAACAACCCTCCCCTCCCAAAAAAAAAAAAAAAGCATAAAGAAGTTTAAAATAAATTTGAACTACCTGAATATATATTTTTTAAAATAAATAACAGAACAACTATATAAAGGAGTTTAAATTATGTTTGAATTAAAAAAGTTGGCATTTGAAATTGAGATTGTAAATGAAGTGTTTGTCATATTATTTTTATAATTTATGAATTATTGTGAATTTTAATAAAATCATAGCTTATTTTTTTTTTCAAAATTTTCTTTCATTAAAGAGAGTAATACAGCTTTATGATTTTATATTTATTCTTGTCTCAATTAATGTAATCATAATTAATATTCATAGTTTAAATTTTTTAATATTTGTTTTGTTGAAATTGCTTTAGCAGAATATTTTGAAAATTTAAACTACTCCTTAATCTTAAAAACATATTTAAAAAGTACTTGCATAATAAATCCCTGAATATTTACATTTTCCACAGAAAAACCAACAAAACGAATCATCCGTCAGTGTGCAAAGGATGTTGACACTGATCGCCCCTGTTATTACAGAGCTGGGTTTGGTGGCCGAGCAAATGTATGCGACTGTTTCGAGAGCAGATGTAATTATGCTTCCACACTCATCAACTCAGTTATCACTACTGCAATATGTGTGTTTGCAGTTTTCATATTTCTGTGATATTTTAGATAAGTTACATTGTAGGGATATCCTAAGTCAAATGAATTCACAGTTAAAACCCATCCTCTTAAAATATTCACAACTATTTTGTAAGGAAGAAATTGGAAAAAGTTGCTTTTAGAGAATAGTTTATTCTTTTTATTAAGCTTTTAAAATAATATTTTGTGCTTACTTCTAATTAAAGCTTTTTTTTTTTTTCATTTAACTAATAATGAGTAAATACTCATTTATAAGAAATTTATTGTAATTAAGTAATTTCGTACTTTCTTGTTCTTTAGTTAAAATCTATATTTTATTCAGTTTTATAATTAAAGAATCAATTAAAAAAACTTTATTTTGAATAACCTGTTGCATAACTTATTATAAAAGTTCCCCCCCCTTGGTAATGCAACCTTTTTTTGAGAAGGCCTTTTCAGAAATTTTAACTTTGAATAACTTTTATAATGCTCTTGAATGTCTTGTTTTATTTAAATCAATTAGTGCAATATGTATTTTCGAAATTACACAAAAATACATTTATAAAATTATAGCTCTTATTCTTAGTTTTAAAAGTTATAAATTTTCTAGAAGTGTAATTATATGTTAATCTTTAAAGTTGATTCACTTGTATTTTGCAATGAAAAGAAATGTATTTTAAAACATTATATACTTAATTTGTATTTTTGTAATTGTTTTTATTGACACGAATAGATTTAAGGGATTAGAGATTTTCATTTCAAAAATCATTAAATTCTTGTTTTGTATTTTTGTAATCATATTGATTGACAGAATTAATTTATGTCATGAGCTTTCCTTTTCTAATATGAAACATATTTTGATTTTGAAAATTTGATCTTGAAATGTATTCTTACATTTCAATAAGTTATGTACATATTATGTGATGTTTATGATTATAAGTAACTTTTTAAGTTAAGAACTGGTGCTTTGCATTTCACTAATAGGTCAGTTTTAGCACCAGACAGATTGTTATTCTGCTGGTTGCTGTACAAACTACTAAAAAATAATTATTTGTACATGATGAAATACTCATCATGCTTGGATCTTCTCCTTGTAATGTTTTTGCAGGCATTGTAAGGAGGTGGCTTTTGTTTAAAATTTTTACATACCCCCATTTATTAGTTATTTTCTTTGTGTTTTTATTATCTTATGTTTCATTTAAAAGAACCAATTTTCAGATTTAAAAGTATTTTTTCAAGCAAAATATTCATCTGTTTAATTGTTCTTGGTTATCCGAAAGTGAGCTTTGTTCATGTTAATGCTGCATATTTCATGCAATATTATGAATAGAGTATAGGATTTTCTGCTTGAGTCTTATCTTTTTGTTGTGATAGTCCTCATAAGATGATAGCCATTTCGTTGAATACCAGTGCTGTTACGTTTTGTCCCCCCTTTTTTTAAGGTTATAATCTTTTGGACTTGTGATATCTTTTATGTTTGGAAGTTAAAACTTGTTTCCCAGTTAGAGAATTTTGTTAAGAATAAAATATTCATATTTTATTTTAGGATGGTTGGGTTTTTGAATTTGAATTATGAATTATACAAATACTTATTTCTGGACTTAATATTTTTTTCCTGACATACTTAATAAAATTATTCCAAATACTTAAACTTTCCATGACTGTGCATATGTGACATTTTTATTTGTTAATTGTTAAGTTTATAAATGATAGAATTTTTCTTTTTTAGATAAAATATTTGAATATATATAATTTTATAATCTTTCTTTACCGTGTTATTTCTTTCAAGTTACTTTTCATTTCAAAATCTGAATTAAAAATGCATTTATATAAGAATAACATATGCAGCTGATAAAAATTGTATTGCATAGTACTTATACATTCAGAACTAACTACAACAATTTATCTTTTTTTTCTCCCGTATACTTTTTTAATGTAAAGTTTCTGCTTTTAATCACTGGTTAAGTGAACCACTAAAAAATTTTCATCAGTTATCCTTCCCCCCTTCTTTTAAAGAAACAGGATCTGATAGGACAGTATGTGAAAAAAAAATTGTTTAATTATTTAAATATAGTATTCATTGGAAAAAAAATTTGCTCTTTTTAATTAATATGATCTGTCACTAATAATTATTATACAGGCATATTAAGTACTGTAAATGCTGGACTTACATACATTCAATTAACATTAAAATTTAAAATGATTTGGGAGAAATGCATTTAGAGTTATTAATTAAATAAGCATATTTTATAGTGGATTTTATATTTGTTTATGGAAGGTATATAGCTAATAGATAAATCAGTGCACAAATGCTACATAAATATAATGAGATTTATTGATTGATTTGGAATTTTGTGATTTATTTAAAATTCTAATGAGTTGTGATATTAAAATTTGATAATCTTCACTTCTGTTGATCATCTGTCAATATGAAAAGAAAATCTAAGTGTTCAGAATAAGTGCCAAATAAGGCTGATTTACAAATTAAGGAAGAGTTCACTGTCATTAATATATTGCAGTCGCATGAATATATTCTTGAAAAGGAAAATTTATCCTTTTATGTGACTATCTTCAAATTCTTTGTAGTGGTTTGATGATTTTGAATTATTTGAAGTAATCTTTAGTGATATACATCTGTGTAGATAAAGAATTTCATTTCATGTTTTTTTTTTTTTTTTTTTTTTTTTTTTTTTGTTAGATGTGTACTAGTGCAAGTTTAATGATTAGTTGTACTTTAGTTTGGGCTATGCTGAATTTTTTGCTATTTGCAATTTCTATTTTCTAATTTTTTGTGCATTTACAGTTTTTTTTGTATCTGTTGCTTAAAACATATATTACAACTAATGGGAATATTAATTTTCTCTAGATTAGAAGTGTTATAAGTATAGTTACCTCTTATCAAATCTTTTAAACTTTGCTGCATTTTACTTTTGACAGTACTGTTGTTTGAAGTTTGTGATTTCATCTATAATTTAAAATTTGCCTTTTATATGAAAAAGTTTACTCTGCATCTTGTATCTATTACTGTGATGTACATATCCTGTAGATGATGTTTTGGTATTAACATTCCTTTATATGCATAGTCAGTTTTCACATCCATAACCATAGTTATTTTTAATTAATGTATAGAAAGAGGTTGATTTTTCAGTTTGTATTTTAAAATTTAATTATATATTAAAATAAATACTCATCCATATTTGATATGAGCAAATAAATTACTTTCCCTCTTTTTTCATATAGTTAAAGCAAATCTGTTTTTGTTCAAGTTACATTTCTTTTAGTTATGCTGGGGCCAAAAACGATTTCAGAGATATTTTGAATTTTATTCCTGTTATTTGATGAAAGCAAACTGGTGTTTTGATTTGCATATTTTATTATGTTGGGGGCCAAACATTTTCATGGAACAATATATGTATTTCCATAATTTGCATCGCATTCATGTAGCTGTTACTCAAAAGAGCATTATAAGCCATATATCCTGAATATTCATTCCATGAAATTGAATTATTGTTACTGACAAAGTCTGATATATTTTGTGATGCTGTTTTAAGCAATTTTGAAAGTGGATTTTCTTGTGTAATTGCTAGGAAAAGATTTCTAGATACTTGATGTACTCTGAGGGCAGTTAATATAACTTGCACTGCTGCATGCATTTTAAACTAAGATCTGAAATGCTAAACTTTTTTTTTATGAGACTATAGTATGTATTTACAAAACTGTACCATTTGTGTTCCTTCTTATATGAAAAATATGAAATCATTCACATTGGATTTATGGTCAGTGTCTATATTAAAAAGCTGTGGAAACCTCTTATCATTATCATGCATACGAATTTCCCCCCTCCCATAATTTAGTGTGCAGCAGTACATAGTTGCTTAAAATGTTTCATTGGTTTTGAGTGGCTAAATAGCTAGCATTTGTTCCAATTTGAAGTGGCACACTTAACTGACTACTCCATAGCCATATATATTTTATTCATATATTATTTATATATTTTGTTTTATTTTATTAGAGATGATTTATATTTCCCAAGTTCAACACTTAATTTTGATAGTTATGACACGTTTTCTAATTGTTAGCATAGTGAAATTTTTTTAGAAAGCTAGTGTAAAATAGGCATCAATTACCTTATATAGACAATATGTTTGTTTCTAGTATTTGTGTAAAATACATTCAAAAGTTCAGTAGTTAAATATTTTTAATATATATGTGAATGCACATTTAAGGTAATTGTTTTATAGGTTTGTTCTATAGTTGATTTTTTGGAAAATATATTGTTATGTAGAGCATTTTTTAAGTTTGTACATATCTTCTATGAAAATGTGCTTATGCTGAAATGATTAGTAATAAAGATGTATCAAAATGTTTCTTCTTGTTTTTAAAACTTTTATCATTAAACTGTTATTAAATAATTTTTTACTCAGCTTAAATGTGAATTACTTAGAACTCAGTTTCATTTATTTATCTGCTGTGGCAGTTGCTTTGGAGTACTGCTCGCCAGATTATACCATTTAGTGTCAGAGTAGCATACAACAAACAAGGATATCCATGGCTATAATTAACAGTAATAGTATTTCCATTAACATTATTCACCTATGAATCATAGTATATTATAATACACACATACTTACACAAATTGGGCAAATTCAATCATATATTTTTCTCATGTTTATATAAATATGATGAAATATAATAATATTGTTAATAGTATATAATATTTTATATAAAATAATAATATATAATATTTAATGCAGGTAAATTGATAATTTACTATGATAATTAGCAATTTTAGCTTAAGAAATTCTGAGAACTATAAAATTGATGTTCTTGTTTTTTGATTATTAGTTTAACTATCTTCAGGGTGATACTCATTGAGAGGTAGCAGCCATGAGGGAAAGTCTGAAAGAGACTCACATACCAGAACTAGGACTGATTAGTCACAAAGCAATGGAAAATTGCATGTGTAGGTTGTAATGCTGAAAAGTATTATTTAAATTTTTTCCATTTAATTATTAAGCATTCATAAGTTCTTAATATCAAGTCTTGAAGCAGAATTAATGCTGTTTTTTTCATAAATGCAATATAATGGAAGATGAAATGTTTCTCCTTTGGCATATGTTTTTTAGGTTAAAAATATCTTTTCAAGTCTCCAAAACATTTGGATTTTTGTATAATGTTATCTTCCCATGTAAACGCCATCCACTGCATTTAAAAATGTTGCCATGGTACCACCAGTCATAGTACTAGAGCTATAGCTAGGATTTTCAGCACCTGGGGAGAGCAGAAGATCTCACACCCTCCTCCTGTTTGCCAAGTTCTAAAAATTCATAACATGACGATGTTCACTGAAAGCTGCACTGGGAGACAAATGTCTCTTGCTCCTTTTTAGCTGTGCCTCTGCATAATACTTTAATTCATCTTTACGTGCCTTTCTCGTAATCAGATTTCAGAGTAATGCCATTCAGTGACCCATAATGCATAATCTTTCAAATTTAATCAATCTGTAATTACTCACTAAACTAAGTGAATTAAAAGCAATACATGCATTTCTTAGTAATTAAAATCATTATTTTAGTTTTAATATAATATAGCTTATAAATGTAAGAATTCTAATGCAGATATTACATATCAGTAAGGCATATCTATAACTTCATGTTTTGGCTTCTTTGTACTATATTTTCTGTAGATTGATTTTGATGATTATATTTCCTTACTGCTATCTTGAATGGATTTCTGGTTTCTATGCTGATTATTCCCTGCACTTCTGTTTTGACATTCAGTTCATTACATTTCCAGTTCACAGCTTCTGCGTTATCATTACAATCCAATGCTTTGACATCTAACACATACTGCTTCTTAAGAGTCCAGTGTATTAAAATTCATAAATTAATTAAAAAAAAATGTATTGTATGTGTATAGAGCAATTTTTCCAGATTGTAGATAGTCTTGTAGGAATTTTTTTTTTTTTTTTTAAATATGAAAAATCAATTGTACCTTTGCGGGAATTGAATTATGCATCTTCCAGTTGCTATCTGGACAGTCTACATTCTCAGAACATGCTTAGGAGTATGCAAAATTCCTTACAGGCTTCCTTCTGCAGTTATAAATTTTGTAGTTGATGGTAATTGCAGAATCAAAGCAGTACCTATAAAGGGATCCCATATATTTTGTACTGATTTTTTTAACATCTGTATGAAATGTTTAGTTTAAAATGGTCATGCCAATTTTTTTATCAGAGAAAAAATAATTAAATAAACGGAATTATGGCACTAGAATGAATCATTGCCAGATATATTCTAATTTTAATATATTTCAAATTGTGTTGTTTCTAATAACAAATACTTGGAACTTCATATGTTAGTCTAAATGGTCAGTATCCATCAGTCATTTAATTATCTCATCATCGACAGCAATTTCCAAGGAGCGCAACGGGGGTCAATAAATTTTAATTTTGCGAGTGGTATGAATCTTGAAAGCTTATCCCTGGCACAGCATGCTTTCTCTTTCAGTTTTATTACTTTATCTTATTTTAATGTTCTTTTCTATGTACACTGCAAGAGGGAGAAAAAAAGACAGTTCTAAATCTCCCGTTCTACTGGGTCCATCGACAAAAATCAGTTTACAATTTTCATGTCTCAAAAGCGTGACTTAGGCTATATATTAAATTTAAATATAGCATTGTTGTAATATACGTATTTTGACACAAAATCGGACTTTTCCTGAAATGACATGCCAATGTTTTTCTATATTTCGATTCTGCTACTCAAATTAAGCCAAACTACCAAATTTTGTAAAACTCGCACGAGTAGTTTTTAAAAAAATTAGCTCTCAAAATTTTAGCTCCTCAGTGTTAATTGAATTTGATATATATTTATTAATATCTCCTTTTTTTTATTAAACTTGATTTGTTCTTACAGAATTCAAAATTTAAGTTCATTCCAAATAAAATTTGCCAATTTTTTATGATTTATTTTAAAAATTTGTATTTTAAAATAATTTTTATAAATTTTTTGGAAAAAAAATTTGATTTATAACCTATAAAATTTTTGCCCATCATCTTAAAGGAGAAGTATTTTTAAGCATACCTGCAAAACGGTAGAGTTTTTAATTCAAAATTTCCTAGGATATATGTGAATTTACATTTTGGTGCATTTTGAAATTTGGCGTATTTATATAAGCGATAATAACGAAAATGTGGTATACGCACTTTGTTAAAATTATTTGACAGTATAAACGGCAACTTTTTACCCCGCTCATGCACAAAGAAAAACAGGTGAAGGAAAATAGGTTGCTATAAATTAAGGTTTTCGCCAAGAGAATTATTCTTGGCGTAAACTGAAAATTTGCCAAGATAAATTTTTAAATTTCTCACCGAAAATTATAAAATTTAATAAATGGGCATAATTTGAGTCGTAGAATCGAAATATGGAAAAAAATTGGTATGTTATTTCAGAAAAAGTCCGATTTCATGTCAGAATACTTATGTTAGAACAATGCTATATATAAATCTAATATATATCCTAAGTCGTGCTTTCTATACATGGAAGACGCAATTTGAATTTTGTCAATTGGCCTGCTAAACGGGAGTTCTTCTCTTTTGCGCAGTTTACCTATAATACGAATAATTCAAGTCTTTTAAAACTACTAAAATTATATAATGGAGCAATCAGTGGCGTAGCTAGGGTGGGGCAAAGGGGGATAGCTTTTCCTGGGCGCAGCATCCAGGGGGCGCCAAACTAATGATACAAAATTTTAGAATGAAGTGTTTTCCATTCGTGGCACACAGAGAGAGGTGCAAAATCTTCAGTTGCCCCCGGGCGCTAAAAAACGGCGCTACGCCTCTGGGAGCAATTAAAAAATGCTCTGCTGGAAAATTTAAAATCTGACAAATTTCTGAATTTTTCATAAATATAAATGGCTTTTAAATACATATTTTGCAGACGGCTTGATTTATGGGAATTTTTTCTCCCTGTTCAGTTGTAATCTGACGGAATTACCCTGTAAATTTTCTCAAAACGATTTGTTAACTTACAAAATAGTTTTTAAATCTGGTGCTTGTTTCCATTCCTTCTGTTATTAAAGTGTGGAATTAACTCTGTATTCACATTTCCGAGATTAAATGCAACTCAGCCTATTTCGTGTCACTGGAAATATGAGAATATAAATTAAGATTATGCAAACTGTTCCATACCTATAGCACAGTCTTGTCCTACATTGCGGTCCGATTTACCGGTTAACAGTGACATAGCTAGGGTGAGGTAAGCGGGTACATCTGTTCCCAGGCGCAGCATCCAGGAGGCACCAAACTGATTTTGGGAAATTTTAAACTTAAATGTTTAGCATTTTTGGCATACAGAAAGAGGCGCAAAATTTTCAGTTGTCACCGGGTGCTTTAAAACCTAGCTACGCCTGTGCGCCGGAAGTGAAAGTAAAGTTTGTAGAAAAGTAAGATTTTCAAGGGGGAAAAAAAAAGACCCATCGGTAACTAAAGTTTACAAATATGTGAAAATTTGCTGAAATAGCCGTAAACATTGCACGTTTATTTCTCAGTCCAAAATGTGACAATTATGCCAAACAAGCTATAAAGGTTGCACCATTGCTTTTTCAATTTCCTGCCAAATAAAAAGGTGCAGATATTAGTGTTTATCCATTTAAAACATTCAAAAATTTAGTTTAATTGAAATTTTGTGTTTAATTATCCCAAATCAAGATTCTAGAGAAAATGAATGCGGCAGGCCTCAGCCACAACAGTTTTATCTTCTTTAGCCGATCACATGCTATCTCTTTTTCTCGTAGGCAGAATAGGTAGGGGCGGATGGAATTACTGGAAATTTTTTTTTAGAGGCGCTGGTGGTTTTAGAGGTCTGTATTAAGACACTGTACATAATCATCTTTTATTTTTATAACAAGATTCTTGCTGATGGTCAAAATTTTGGTCTAACTATATACTCAGTAGAGCTTGTAATCCAAGATACAAATATTTCAGAGGATAATACATGATCAATTAAGTCAGTATGTGTCTGGATATTTCCAATTATAACTTACTTGAGATTGCGCAAGTCAGTAGTAAGCGGGCGTTCTCAGCGGACGGAAGTGACGTCACAGAAAAGGGGTGTGGTCGCCGCCCTCTTGGATAACGGGGCAAGCGAAAGTGACGTAGATGAATTGATGACGTCATGCGTTGTTTCGTTTTTATTCTGTGGCAACGACCGTATTTTTCAAAGTTTTTATTTTTTGTGACAATGACAATATTTGTTAACGACTTCTTGAACCACGTGTTTGGAATAACATCACTTTTAATTTATTATTTTTAATTATTTGACACGTGATTAATTATTTAGTATGTCATTAATTTACGCTTTTTAATAAGTATTTGAATTATTACCTTTAATTAATTTTTATTGAATTTAATATTTTTCCTGAA